CATAGAAGGGAGCGTAGGAGGCTGAAAGGAGGGAGACACGGGAGCAGCAGCGGCAGTGGGGTTTGTACACAGGTCCCAAGGCAAAGGCGCTTCCAAGCTGGTCCCTGTAGGGTTTTGCGTGCTAAGCTAGTTTTGGGGGGAGGGGGGGAATCTCCTCTTCCTTTTCTTTCCCTTTTCTTTCTTTTACCAGAGCCTGCTGAGGGTTGAGTCCTGCCTAGGGTAGGGATATCTGCAGTGGGGCTGTTGCATTGTTTTGGTTGGGCTAGAGAAGGGGCTTAGCTGAGGGGTCCTGCTGCCTGGCCTGTGACCATTACAGGTGAGTCTTTGATTATTACCAGCGTTTTCTGCCGTGGGCGCTTTGGGGAGGGGGGTGGCAAAAAGGGAGTGAAACGCGACGGGAACGTCTCATTATCCTCCGGGCGAGTATAACTCCTTCCCAGCCAGATATGCGTTTAAATTCAGTTTAAGTTGTCTTGAATTTGTCTTCTCTTTTGTGAGGTTTGGTTAAAAATGGCAGGCTGTCGCTATATCTTGTGAATATGGCGGGTTACTGTAACTGGAGGAGCTGAGGAGAATTTTTTGGCAGTTATGCCAGATTTATGCATTATGTTTGGAAAAAAAGCTAGAAGGGGCTATTATGTGACAACATACCGCTTCCTTAGACCTGTGATTTTCAGAATGGGTTTATGTGTTATTGGGACTGCGTATTGAGTTTTATGAAGCTTGGGGAAACCTAATCTTATCCTCCATCCTGTATATTTTTGTTTTGTGGTACTAAAATGGCTCGTTATAGGCCTAATCTCTTTGCCTTCCACACCCCCGCGTCCCTTCCTCCCTCCCTGCTAGTATCTCCGCTTCGTGGTGTAACCTGGACAAACGGAAAGCAGTACTCAAGAGTTTCTGTGCCAATTTAAAAGGGGATCATTCTCCCCACCCCCTTTCTGGAGGGTGTAAGTACTTAATACTGGTGCATCCCTTTCTTGCTTTAGTTTCTGCAGCCAGCGTTCACGTTCCTTGGGTGACATCTTTCAGTCTCTTAAAGAAATAAGTAGTGGTGGAGTAGACCCACCAGTCTATGCTGCAGACATAGGGGAGGAGAAACAAACGGTTCGCTGTGTAGTACTAAATAGGGTAGAGAAACATAATATAGCCTGATTATAAAGGTCCTGTATTCCCCCATACTCAGCCATTAGGGAATGTGCGGTGGCTAAAAGCCCCGAGGTCCTTAAAATGGTACATGCTTCGTGTCGTTGAAAGCAGAAGTTTAGTGCTACATCTAGATTTAGGAATGTTTTAGCCTGTTTATTTACAGTACCTTAAAGGAATAATAACGAAACGCTTTCGTTATTCAGGGCTCGGATCAGAGAAAAGATTGAGATTCATGGCTGTAGTTATAACGCATAATTCGTTGGTTATAATCAGCGTACTTTTAAAGTTACTTTACAAAAAATGTGGAGCAAATTTTTTAATTTCCCTCTTTTGTCCTTTAGAGATTCTAAAAATGGCGGCCTCAGGCTGATGTTGTGGTAATCTAATCGGCTCGGGTCCTCCACACCCCATGCAGTGCGTTTGTCTGCAGAGTATTACAGTCTTATTATGTTTAAATGAAAAGACCGTTCCCTTCAAATAACGTACAAAACATCTCTTGACTTTACTGCGATTTAAAAATGCTGTGTTCCAGCTGATTAATTTTATTGGTTATGTGTGTGAAAGGCAAGTGAACGAGACCACTCTTGTCGGGGAAAAGGGGGGTGGAAGGAGGCAACGGTCTCGAGCAGCTTCTTTGAGGGGTGTGTATTGGTTGTATGTCGGTTTAATAATTTGGATAAACTCCTGCATATGTGGTGGTGGATGCTGCACGTCCGTCCATCCTATTAATGACAGAAAAACAGTAATATCAAACTAAATAGTGGATTAAGATCACTAGAACACTCAGCCAGGTTCTTTGTGGAATCACATTTGTGAACCATCATATTCACCTTCCAGGAAATACCTCTGCTGGACATAAAGACAGTAATCCCATGTATTCATAGTTTGAGAGTAGTAAACGAACTTGGTACTTATGGAGATAATGCATGTGAGATTATAACCTGTTACATTATTAGACTCAGAATTTCTTCTGCCACCATGTAATATCGGTATTAATTTTTTTCTTCAGTTTGTTTTGTATATTGCTGTGTAAATTGTGCGTGTGGTTATACACATACAAATACCGAGTGAAAGTGCAGTTCCTAACCTCTAAATTTTTTTTTCCTCAATGAAATACGAACCTTTTAGTATCACCACTATAAATATGTTTGGGTGGGGGGAAGGGAGGTCACAAGGATTTATTATTTGGTAGTTGGTGTAGTGTGCTCTCATACAAACTTATGGAGGCTGAAACTGTACGTCTTAAGCCGCAAAAAAAGAAAAATTAATTTTTCCATTTTTTTGTGTTTGTCTTTAATCTTGTCCTTGCTTTAATGAGGTATGAACTCCTGTTCTATTATAGCTTTGGAACCTTCTGGATTTAAACAAACAAATGTGAGGCATTGAAATGGCAGAACTGTCCTCAGATTCTGAAGAATTTTAATTTGCATACCATTTAGAAGCAGTAATGTATGGTTTCAGGTATACCTGAAGTTGAACAATAAGATAGTAAGATTTTGAGTATTGTTAGTGCATGCCTTTCGTGTGTTTTGAGGCCAAAGACTGAGTGATTTCAACCACTGAGTGATGCATTAATAGTCCAGTAATGCATGCTTCCATCATACCTTCCTTGTTTTTATAGATTTAATTACTTCTAGTAAACCATGTTTTACTCTGTTTATTAAGAAGTACACAAAATTCTGAAGAATGTATGCATGGACCCTCTTGGAAACCTTTTGCTGTTTGCTTTCCCTATGTTTAAAGCGTCTGTTATTATGAATAATTTTTTTAACATCATGACTTAGAGGGTTACACAGCTCTGCAGTCTAACTTCATGGTCTCAGTCATGTTCTCAACCAGACATCTGATTCACGACTAAAATAATTTTGTATGCTTTACAGAAGTGTTGGGGAGTGGGCGGGAAGGGGTGTGTGTGAGAGGAATGTTAATAAACCCGAAGATTGAAATACACTCAAATTTTATAGTTTATCTTATAGATCACAAATTTTCTGCACTAAGAACCTCTCAGGATTTTGAGATCTTCCAGTGTTTTCCTCTGTGAGTTTTAGTGAGTCAGCTTTTGTGACTCAGTTTCTCCATTTGTAAAATAACAGATCTGTGATGTATTATAAGGAGAAAATATTACAAAGTTCTACCTTTTATTTTTTTAACCCCATGGATGTTGAAAAGTTACAGTATGTTCATTAAAAAAACAAAAATACCCCCTAAAACTAATAAACTTCTTTAAAGAGAGAAGATATGAAATTTAATTTTTTTTTTTCAAAAACATTTCTCATCTACGTTGTGTTACAAATGCAGTAATACAGACTGTAGTTCCAAAACTGTTTATGTATCATTAAGCTTTAAATATCTGAAGGAAAAATCTGCTTAACTGTCACTTACCCTCATGAGTGAACTTTTTTTTGCCATCTGGGAAATTTCAAAGGGGAAATAACACTGTCTTTTTAGACTGTATCTAGGGAAAGTTTCTCTTGGAACTAAAATTCAGATTACTTTTGGGAGTTCCATTACCTCATGTCTTTGGTACAGTTTCAGCACACAACTGTTAACATTCTGTTGGAAAGCAACAGAAATTGGTGTCACAGTGAAGGCTGTAGTGTCTCTCTAGTCCTGATCTCAGTTTGATTTGAGGACAGTCTTAAAATTAGTACTATCATGCGTGCAAAATTAGTGAGGACTATTTGCGGGACTTGGTTAAGGAGTGATGCACATACTTGTAGAATTGTGGCATTATTCTAAACAGATGAATGTAAGTGAAGGTTTAATGAAAGTATTCTGCTGTTTTCATGTAACATTCTAAAAAAATTGAAGTTTGGAGGGGAGTAATGGTGTGGATTAAAGATATAAAACACAGTTCAGACTTCTGGAGAGATCCTAAAGAAGTCCATGTATGTTCTTGGCCTTGTGACTTTCATACAAATGAGCATTTGTGAATCTCAATAGCAAATTTTGTTGGACAGTGTTTTTGGAATAGATACAATGTTTAAATGTTTCCACTGTGCAAATAGTAGTTTTGATTTATGGCTAAAAATGAAACTTAAGGCGTCTCTGGAAAAAAAAATTCAGCATATGCAGAATGCGAATTAAGGGAAAAAATATACTTCTTACTCATCCAGAATTTGGAATATTTAAAATATTCTTTGTAGTGAGCTTTTGAATCATGCAAGATGACTATTTCTAGCTATAGCAGTGTTCACATTTTCTTAATATTCGAGGAATTGTACCCACAAATATTAACCTAATCTCTTTGGGGATCCAAAATTCTGTTTGTGACCTTCATGCTACAAAACAACATGCTGTAGTTTTGTTGAAAGGCAAAACTGCTGTTACCTTTCAGGCATAACAAACAAGCTATCTTAAAGAAACCTTGTTAAGGTTTCATATACTTGCTAGGAGGTAATAAGTTTATTTTTATTTCATTTTACAGATCTTAATGTGATATTAATGGAACAGGCAAGATTCTAAGCTCTGCTGGTTGTTACACAATTTTAATAGTAAAGGTTATCTGTTAAACCTTTGAAGAAGGCGTTGTTGTACAAAGTAAAGCCTGACTTAAGGTCTTCCTTATCTTTATTTTTCTGAATTTAAATACTTGACAAGTAGTAGTGCAAATCAGTGTCCACTCAACTTCTGTTTCAAAAGTACCAACGAAGAATATATTGAAATAGCATACAGATTGCATCCTGTGCAAATAAAATATGTTAGATAGTTTTGCATATTTTATTTGAAGATTGCTATCTTCCCTTTCATATGATAGTTCATACACTGCTTAGGTGGAGATTCGGTGTTGTAAAACTTAAGAGACTGGCAAGGGACTAGCAGTTAGGCAAACTGGGTAAAGTATGGGAATGCCAAAGTAGTATTGATCCTAGTTGTAGGATTTAGGTTCATGTTAACATTTTCAATAGGTGCAGATACTAAAATGCCATAGTGCAGGCTCAGGTTTAAAGAATCTCTTTAAGAAGAACTATTCTCATTTGTAGTTTTTTTTTATTGTTTTATGCCATCATAGTCTAGATAATCATTCACTTTTATATCTTTATCTCAAAAATAAATTACGGGCAAATTCAAAGACAAGATGATAAGTCTGGGTTTTAATGACATTAGTGTACTTTATATTACAGCTTAAGAAGGAGTACCTATAATGTGTTGTCCATTGTTAGTTATTTCATCAGTCACAGAAAGTGATTGAATTCATATCTTAATTTTACAAACTGGGAATTTGAAATGTATACAGGATAGTAGCTTTGGATCTTCTGCCCAGAGGAGCTCTGAATATTTTAATTGGTTTGGTGTTCATCACTCTAATTCTTCTAACTTGACTACGTCTAAAGATAATTTTTTCTTTAACAGTGGGTGATGCTCTTAACTTGGCTTGAGTAGACAAAAGACACTAACTCCTAATTAGTATGGTTATAATGGGGCTGTGTTTAAAATCATATCACAAGACAGATCATATTCCCAGTCTAGACAGTTAATCCTGTCTTAACTGTTGGTTTAAAGAAACTTTTCCAACGAGGAATGTTTTTTAGTAGGTTCCACTTAAACAGAAAGTGAAGACCTGAGAATTACAGGAACTTATTTATAGTTTTGGAGGAAGATGTAGAGCCATTACAGCCTCTCATTTGGTTTCCAAACCTGTTGTTCTAGAACTGTTAAAGAAATGTGAATACTTTTATATAAAACTGATAAACAATACAGTAGTTACTTTCCTGGTTTATAAGGATAAGGTTCTTCCCTCAGATGCTTTATCAAGTAATACAGCTAATTGCTTGCTTTTTTTTTTTTTGCTTAGAGTAGAAGCTCCTGATGGGACTTTTACTCTTTAATATTATTGTGCAAGATTTTTATGAATGATAGTAGTTATATTTATAATCTTCACTGTTTCTTACTTTCCAATCATGTCTTCTGTACTGGAAGACAAATAAATGAAACTGCATATTTTTTTCCCTCTTCTGTGTGGCAGTAGTATTGAAAGTTTAAAAGCTGTGTTTTGTGCTTTGATTGCTGGGCAGAGTTTTAGTTGTGTTTATTCTAAGATGGTGTATTTCATATCTTTCTTACCACAATTAAAAATGCATACTGATAGCCCCTTTGAAAACACAAAAGTTTAATGTTACAAATGCATTAATCTTAAATATCTTAACGTAAACTACTCAATACAGTTTTGCAAGATAGTTGTAATTTAAAAGGAAATGTGTTTTGCTGTTTTTTTGAAAGTAGGAAAGATCTTTTGATCTTGAACTTATGTAATTTTTTTGGCTGTCCTTGAGCATGACATAGTCCCCTCTATCTGTTCCCTCAACCTCTCTTGCCCTCTTCCTCCCAAAATCTTAGTGCAGAGCATTGAAACACTGCCAAGTTGTTACCAAGAGATATAGTCCCATTTGAACTGTGGTTAAAATTGCATGGAGGAGTCCATCTAACAGCTAGAAAGAATTAAAGTTTCTGTTTGAAAGAGTGCAACTTTCTCACTTGCTTGTGTTTAAATTCCTAGGCACAAGTCTAACAGTTAAGTGAATGTCTACATACTGCTTCCATAAGGAAAATTAGAAGGGCTGCTGTGCTAGTCATGTAGGTCAAATGCCATTGATAAAACAAGGGAAATATGTTTTCACTTAGGTAGATTCCAGAAACTATCAAGTTGGAAGTTTGCTTACCTGAAATGTTTGACTTCATATAAATCAAAAGAATTTACTTCTTGTCTAGTAGGTATCTCATAATTATAGTAGACTCCCAAGTTTTACGAAGCAGTATAGAAAAAAAAGAAACACTAAAGTGAATTATTTTATTTGACGTCATGAAACCTGCAGAATATTTAGATTGTTGAAGACAATACCAGTAGCTATTTGTAGCTGCATACTTTTCTCCCCAAAAGCCTTCTAGCTTCTTGGAAAGAATATTGGGCTTTAGAATTCGGACTTCTAGTGACTGACTTGTCATGAGGTACACTTTTAAACTGAAGAAAAAAAAGTATACTTAGCTCCTACAGTTGTAGGCATGACTTACAGGGTATTCTTACAGCATGTGCACTGCATGTACTTGAAAAAACACTTGATATTTTGAAATGCTTGTCAAGAATGACGATTTAAGGTAACAGGTGTAAATAATGTTTTCTTAGAGAATAGTTGGTAAGTCACAGGTATTTTGTGTAAATTTGATCAACAGTTACTTCCCATGTTTTGGTGGATGGAGAAAAGTGCTTGCAGTAAAACAGTTGATACAAAGAATAATTTAAAGCCAAGATCTTTTTGCTGGGAAACTACTTCGTTTTCTTAACCTTTAAATTTCTATTTAAAGGATTTTTGCACCTCACAGTGATACAGTGTAACACTAATGTTAGGTACCTAGTACATACTTTACTTTTTGATAGCAGCATGGCTTAGAAATTTTCTCTCTTATTATTCCTTGTGTGCCATACTTATATTTTACAATACCTTGACTCTTCAGCTCAAAATATTTGGTATAAAGGAATAGGTCTTTTAGTGTGTGGTTTAAGAAGTGTGGCAGGTATTTAGTGAACTTAGAGATGTCAGGTGACTGGCAGTTAATTTTTGATTTCAGGGGTTGATTTCTGCAAATAAGACCTATATGCATGGTATTTTTTGTACACCTACGCTTACTGCTTCTTTGGTAGATTTCTGTTCCATATACTAATTCTTATTCTTTCTGTGACTGCATTTAGCTTTATTTCCCTTCTACCACTCGTTCTTTTTCTCTTCCTAGTCTCATATTTTGTCTAACTTCCTCTGAGAGAAGAAAAGGAGGAGTGAAGAGAGAGAAGAGGTAAGGGAGAAGTCTTCCATGTTTTAATGGACTGGCATAAATATGTGAGGAAGAGATTGCTTTCCATCACTTCAGGAATACCCAAGAAGAGCACCCTTGGCCCAGATAGTAAAGGGAAGATAGCGTACAGCCAGTGGAAGCTGGCTTTTCTGTGTGGCAGAAACTTCACTAACTAACACAGTAACTCTAGAGTCATACTCAAAAGGTCTGCTTTTTTTTCCATCACTAGAGTTAGTGTAATGATCTGTATACTGAACATACTTACATGATGGAAACTCAAATGGTTAATGTATTGATCTTGAATAATATGGAAGAGACAGGACTTAATTTTCTTCTTCATTCTAGATCCAAAATCAAGACCAATACATGAAGTTTGGCTGTAATTTCAAACAGGACTGAGATCTTTGTTGAACCTTAAGTCTGGAATGTATTTTATCAGGATGTTCAGAAGTATGCGAATGAACTATTTACTTCACCATACTTGTTCTTTTTCTGTATTGGCACTGGATTAAAAGCAAAACAGGAGGAGGGCCCTTAGGTTGACTGTGGTAGCCATGTTTCTTAAATAAGTTGGTCTAATGATCCCTAGGTCTCTGTTGGTGCACCAAATAACTTTAAATATGTATTTATGTAGTTAGGAGCTTAATGCCCTTGAGATCTCTGAAACTCTGGACAGGGGCATTCTGAGCAGTGTCCTGGGAGGGGAAGAATGATAATTTTAGCCATTATCTGCATGTGTAACTCCAAACCAGCTGTAGCAGGCACCTTTTTATGTGTATTTTTTTCCTCCCTTTTCTTGTTTATCTGGCAGAGCACATGAGAAGAAAGAGAGGTGGACATGAGTGCTGACCATGTATAGGTCAGTGTGGGTGGCATATGAGAATATTGAGGAGCATTTGAATGAGGCTAGGACCAGTTAATATTGTGATGAGGAAGAAACTTCTATTAGAAGGATATAGAGAATGTTAGGTCAGTAGGAATATTTAGGCACAAACTACAAATACATAGAAAACTAGATTTGTTTTAGAACAAGTTATTTCTTTTCTGTGGTTTGCAGGAGTTGGTCATTAATGGGTCTTAATTTGTATAATGTATTTGAATGTGCCTACTGTGTCTTATTTTTACCTCCTACCCTTTTTCATCTTGGCACAAATTTGAAGTAGACTGCTGGCTATCTGTTAGGTTACCATAGAGAGCATCAAAGAGTAGCAAAGGTCTAAAATTGGACTCATAGTTGTTTCTAAGCCTGCATATTTCATACTGCAGCTGCAGTGTTGTAGCGTTTGGAAGTTGGATATCCCTCCTAATCTCTTAGCAAAATCTCTACCATGGTGGAGCATGTCCAAGGAAACAGGGAAAGAACTTCCTTGTGGGAAAGATTAGTGATTTATTCATGTATTCTCCTTCTAGGTCTGATTAAAGATGCGTTATCTCCTTAGAAACAGCTGGCAATAAGTAAATATTCAAATTACTTTGATATGTGCTTATGCTATATATATATGCTGCTTATATTTCTTCCAGATTTGTGTGTAAGTGTTCACTATTTGAAGAATATCTAGAGATACCATTAAAATGGCATTTTCTATCACTTGTCTTCCAGATAACTATTGCATAGAGAAGAGGTGAATACTCAACAGTAGTAGAAAGCAGAAGTCTAGCAAAGCATGCAATTTTTTTAAGTAAAATCCTAATGTTTTCTTCTCTCTCTTCCCTGTTAAGCCCTTCCCCCAAGTAAAAAGGAGGAAAAAAAAAAAATATTAAAATGAAGGAAAAAAAAATAGTGGGCAAGGAAGCCAAGTAGGAAAGCTCATTTTTGGCTCTGTGACAGTTCAGGATGGTAGTTTTCACACTAGATTTGTGGATTATGATACACTGTATTGATAGTACATTTTTATGTAGAAATTTCTCCTCTATAGATTGTGCTAAGGCATAGACGTACCAACTTCTCTTAGGTCCTTTATTGTACATTGCTTTGTGGGAAGTGTGCTTCACATGACCACAGGTTAAAATTGTTGGCCTGTAAATGCGAAGGAAGGCATGACAAGAATTGCTTCTGCTAATGATTGCAAAACTTGTATAGATATATGATGTAATCAGGGAGGGGGCAGAGGAGAATGTTTAGATTGCATGCTCAATAAGAGGCAACTTATGCATAGAAGACGATTTTAAGTGTTTGTCCTCTAAATCCTCTTTTTCACTTTTTCCATTGTGTGTGGTAGACTTAATTTGGTGTCTCTCAATTTTAAGGTACATAACTGTGTTCCTGTATGGTATATTGAGCACCAGCACTTGAAATGTGGTTTTATTCACCTCCCCTTTAAAAAGAAAGCCTTTTGAAGGGTAAGGAAAGCACCAGCACACCTTGTAGACTATCCTTCCTGGTGTGGTAAGAAAATCAAACAGAATAATACCTTTTGGTCATCTGTGTTTATTACATGAGATAACTTGTGTAAATAAATAACACCAAGATCAGCAGGAGTTGGCAAAGGTCCAAAAGCATTAGTGCCATCCTGGAAATCTTCGCATCTTGCCAAAAAGACTTCATTGAGATGGAAAACCGTATTTAGTCCAGAGTGATCTTGTATGACTGTTGTCAGCCTGGACCCACATTAACCTGGATTTTCTACCAGGAGCAAATGGAAGTTGGAGTTTCGCTTTGGGCTTAGTGGTGTATGAATACAGGTACATGGCTCCGATGTTCAAATTGACTTGAAGTTAAAACCAGTTTAGCATTGTGTGCTGGTTGAGATGAAAGGTCCTGCTTCACTGAAGACTTGTCATGCAACTAGTTTGTATACTTTGAATTATTTTTATCTGTAAATTTGATAGCTTCTTTATCCTTCCTCTACTTCCTTGATCCATACATGAGTAGAAAATTTGCTGTACAGACGCCTTTGTTTCACCAATTTAATCTTTGTTCCAGTAAGTGTAAATTCCCTTGATTTGTATGTGTCCCTTAAACATGAATCTTTATGTATACTCTGTGTATTCTGATACTTAAATACTGCTGTAGGAAATTGTTAATAATTTTTGCCTATATTTAAAGGGTGTGATGCAGTGGGTTTACCAGCATTCTTAGTATAGCAAAAGAGAAGCCTTTTCTGTATGTATCCTTGGGAAGTAAGCTCAGCTTGAATATGGCATGAACTACATGTTTCTCCATAAGTTGGGAAACATGGGCTGTAACTTTCAGATGTTCGGGAGTGATAACTATTCTCAGACATATCAGTTACTCAATGTACTAAATCTGGGGAAATTACCATCTTCACTTTTTACATATCTTGTCATATGTATTAGAAGCTATGTAAATGTTGCTTTTAAGGAAAGACAGTTGACACAAGTAGATAGGTTAGAAGGTTTTGATTGTTTTTTTCCCCTCTAGTTATGTGTGTATTGTATGGAGACCTTGTGGAGATGCAGGGCGGACATAGTATAGAGATGGGAATTTGCTTAACATATTAATCTTCCAGCACTGTCATTAGTTAAGAACTTAGAGGCAAGTTCTTAAGTTCCTGCATCAGTATAAAATCTAAATAATTATTTATCTTATGCTAGCTCTGTTTCCTGTCATGAAATACTCAGCCTAATAATAGGCTAATCTAGTTATAATTTGATTTTTTTTTTTTCTCCCTTAAACTTATACTCTGTATTTAGGGAGGCCCTGGTAATTCTCTTGGCAGAGGAATTCTGTGATGAAATCCCAAGTCTTGAAACACAAACTGTAACTTTTTTTTCCCCATCTTGTAGTTGTTGGATGGTGACTGATAAAGGCAATTGCTAGAAAAAAAATATTGAGCTTCGGGTGTGTATTGAAGTAATGAAAACAGGAACAAGACTTGATATTTTTGTAATGCCTAGTGATGTGAGAAACTTGAACTGATTTAGTCGTCAACTCTTTAAAATTAGTGTAGTGTTTCATGTATGTGAAAAATTCTTAGATCTGAATGAAGAAATACCCTAATTGTAAGCTTAATTTGTGATTTCACTGACATCCCTTTTTAAATTAAAAAAAAAGAAAGTACTGCATCTTGGTTTGAATTCTGTTTCTAATGTCTATAGTGAATTTTTTTTTCCCTTGCCTTCTAAATGCCTTTTGTCATATGTGACAGACACTAAAGACAACAGAATCAGGGAGTTGATTTACTGGGAAGGAAATAGGAGGAACAATTACCTTCTCAGTGTAAAAAGCTGTGATGAGTACTCAGAGGAGTAAAACCAGCTTTTTTTAAGTTATTTTTTCTCTTGGGTTTTTGTAGCATTAAGGGTAAATGTGGATTAAAAAAAGCCCAACAACCAAAAATCCTAAAACAACAAGGTGAGTTTTTTCATTTGTAATAAGTGATATTACCTTCACATATATTACTATTCAGGATTTTTTTATCATTAAGGCAGAAAAGTTATTTTTAATGAAAGTTTTGCATGTGTGCACACAGATGAGAGCCTTAGTATTCTTACACAGCATACGTTTTAGCAGGCTTTTTACCCTATTTCCCCTTCCCTTTCCCTTCTTAAAAAGGCTAAATGTCTTGCAGAAGTGAGCTACCAATGTAGCATATAGCCATATGAGTTATATCTTTCTCAGTATACAAAGTACTATTTGCTATCTTCTGGCTTGAAAAATATGCTTCATGATTAATAAAAATAATAGTAAGTCAGAGTTTTGATAAGTTTTCTCTTGTTACTTCATTGTTGAGTTTAAGTACTGGGAATTGAGTTTCTGAATCTGTAAAAGAAAATGCAAGTAAAAGTGTTGTAAAAAAAATTATTTTCCTACCTTAGAAAAACAGAAAAAAAAATACCAAAGAAACAAAAATAAACTTCTGTGGAAAATGCCATGGAAGAATTTGTCTGGACTCCTGACACTTAAGAGGATGATTGATAGCTGGGCTTATGAAACCTTGTTGGAGTCATCTGGACAGTTTGGCTAGACTGCAAGTTCTTATTTTTCAAGTGTACTTTCTGTCTAGGTGATCTGTCATCTGCTTGTTTCCTGAAACTGTTCTGTATAGTTTTTGGTGGTCCTACAAGATGCAAGTGGAAGGAGGGAAAAATGACATGCTGACAGAGTAGGCCTGGAGTTCCTTTTTGTCCATATCTGATCATCACATCTAGATTTTGGTTTGAGTGTTTACATCCTTTAGGATTGGGCTCAAAAATACTGATAGAATTTCAGGAGGTTCCCCATTTACCTTCTTATTTAAGGGTTGAACCCTCTCTATTTGTTTTATTCTTCCTCTGTGTACCAGTGAAAAAGTTTTTTTTCTTCTAGTGTGACACAATTGATCCTAGAATGACATAGCAGAAAGGAAACATGTGGTCTTGATTAGACCACAGAATAATGTTGTGTAAGTGGAATACCTCAGGGATAATATGTAAGTTATTTTCTGTTGTTTAATACATAAATGATGTTCTTTTGTACAAAGCCACACAGATGAATAATGTGGAATGTATTGTGCTCTTATACCTCTATTGTTAGAAGGCAATTTAAAAAAAAAAAATTCTGTTGTCATAAAGTGGATCATGAGAAGTACAGTGAGGTTTCAAACGTTTCAGCCTTGATATGGCTACAAAGTCAAACTCCTGTGCAGTCTATATAGAATAAAAGAACTGCCACTGAAAATATAAACCAGTGTGATTGAATGTTAGTGTGGTAAGTTTCTTGCAGGAGGTTGATTTGCGCGAGACAGATGCTTTAAGCAGATTGAACAAAGGTGTGGTTTTTTGTTTGGTTTTAGGATTAAAATCATTATTAGGGCAAGATTAAATTTTATAACTGCAATTAAATAAAACCAAAATTTCTTCAAATAAGGAATGTGGTTTCATGTAATAAAGCTGTGCTGGTAGTGTAATAATAAAGAAAATCTGATTAATCTAAGAAATTGCCAGGATTCTTTCAAAGCTTACAGTGTATTATCAGTAGAAGGCGAGGGTGGGCCCTAACAAAATTGGAAGTCCTTTACTGTTGAGATCAAGGTGCGATAGATGAGTTACTTTGCCCAGTAAAGAGCTGATAATTGAATTTTGGACCAGCAGTTCTTACATAGTGCTGTTTAACTATATGACCTTGAAATTACCTGGACAAACCAGTGTGGTCTTTTTAAGTTCCAAATTAACGTTCTGCTTAAAAGAGAATTTCTCAAAACAGTAAGTTGTTTATAATCTGCTAGGATTGTAAGAAGACTTCTTCTTTGACACCCTTCTTTCCACTCTTCCTGGCCAGTTACATTAATGAAATGCACCTGTGAAAACAGTTCTTAGAAGGCCATGGGTGACAGATTGTTGGAGTTCTGAAAGAATAATGACTTGAAATAGATGGGTACTTGCAGAAGTTGGAAAGTACCACATTATGATAACGGATAGTATTTTATGACTCATCTGAAATATCAAGCTTCAAAGGCTAAGCAATCACTTTTAAGATGGAAAAGGAAGAAAGTTCTCTAGTGGTTACATTATTTTTTTGTTCTGAACTTAGCAATTTTTGCAGTATAACCCAGTAAAAATACTGGGGATATCTTAGTGTGTGATGACAATACTGCTTGTTCTGACATGACAGGAAAGAATTATTTTCCTTCATCCTAAGACTGACATCACTGTGTGTTCATCATTGGAGGCCTGTAAAGTCATAGTTCTGTTAGTAACTGGGCATAGTGCAGGGTCTTCCCTCATTATAGGAATTAATGGAGGATGGCTGCTCATAAATAATGAGCTATCTTTGTTTGAATTAACTTGTCTGTGTAGGTATTGTGAGCCTGTGACTGCATTCATTCTTTCATACTAACTATAGACAGAGGAAAAGCTCTTGGAGGGATTTGTACATGGGTGTGGTGAGGAACTGTAATCTTAAGTGGTAAAAAATAATTGGGTAGTATTAAAATTATATTCTGCTTCCTTTTAGATGAAACAACTTCTCTTTAATGCTGTTTGGCAAAACAAATTTGAGTTCTTCAAGTCTCTGACTTTATTCAGTGTAGATTAGTCTCTTAGAATTTTTGAGTGGATTCTGACTGAGGCTTAAAGATGTATTTCAGTAGCTTGCAGTAGAGTGAGAAGTTTCTCTGTTCCCACACACACTCCTGGCATCCCCTTTTTTTTTTTTTTTTTTCTCTTTTTTTTTTTCTCTTTTTTTTTTCTCACAAAAGTGGTGATGTATTTGCTTGGTCAGAGGTGATGGTGTTAATTGGGCTATGCATTAGAGATTAATTTTCTCTCTGTATGTAGCTCTAAAAACCTTAACATAGCACTCTTGTTTTTCTGTATTACTTTAAAAAAAAAAAAAAAAAATTCACTTGGTTCTTATATTGGGTAACAACATCTTTCTGTGTTGGCAGTGAAGGTCACTTGCATACGTGATGATTGGGTAGCCTCAGTTTTATGTTAGTTTGCAGATGTCCTATCCCATGAAGCAACCATCTAAGACGGGTTCTTCACTTCTTCAGTCTCCCATGCATTTTTGCCTGCATTAATTTCCAGTTGTTCCTCTAGCTGGTCAGAAGGGTTTGAAGAATATTGAATTAAGAAGAAATATGCTACCACCAAAAGCAATTTTAAAGTTCTAGAAACTTCTAAGTGAAGACCTCAATCTCACATAGTACGTCTTTCAGACCTACTTTTATATGCTTTGGTTTTTAGACTTACCTAATAACAAGCATAAAAAAATCTTTTAAGCTAATGATTTGTTAGTGTAGGTGAAACTGCATCTGGTAGTGGAAAAACCCTTAGCCTGTGATACTCACTTTACATAGACTGAAAAGCTAGATGGTTTCATTTTAATTATTGGGTAGGAATTAACATATATTTTTTACTTTTTCAGAAGATGATAATAGTGAGATGCTTCCTGTGAGTTGTAGATGAGGCCATTCAAGGCTCTACCCTATGTGTAGAGTATATGGTGGCAGAGTGAGTGATCACTTAACTGTAAGAGAGACTTGGGGTTTCTTTTATGCCTGCTACTAAAAATATTCTATACTCGCTTTTGGTTTAACATGGGTTTTTTTGGCTATTTATTCTTGAAAATAGTACGGTTTTCCCTTAATTTTATGCGTAGTTATACAGTTTGACATTTGTGGTATTTGTTAGGAAAATGCCTTGTGTTTAAAGGAGGAAAACTAGATACCCCAATGGCTAGTTGGCCTGATTACTTTCCAGTTCATTGTGTTTTGGTCCCATTACATGAGTTGCCAAATACAACTTCTGCTGTCCAGAGGCAGAATGAACTGTGGAAAGGTTAGGTATTTAAGTAGTGATACAAAATTTTTTTTAAGTTAGCTGAAGACTTGATGCCAGTTCATACCTTAGAGATGCCCTCTCGATGCCACTTAATCATCCTAAAAATAACCAACTTTATCAATAAAAGGATCAATTTCAGATTTAAGTACACAACGCTTTTCTGAAGCCCTTTTTGTAAGATTCCCATTTTTCGTTGGAGGCTTGTTCGTTTCTTTTTTGATAATCTAGTGGTTGGCAGGATGAGTGAGCTAAAACACACTGATCTCAAAACTGTCAGCTTTTGTAGACTTCCTCTAAGATAATACACTTTGTGAAATGGGAACAGTGTATTTATTAGGCAGTGTATGTGCTTCAGTGTGGTCTATCTTCTTGCAATTTTGACACTTTGGAAGGAGTTTGCAATTACTCATTGTGCAATTATTGAAGATTGGGTGTATTCTGCTTCAATTACCTAGTTGCTTGTGGAAAACCTTGTCTATGTTAGGGTATAAAAATGCGTTGGTTTACTAAATTGTGGACAGAGATGGCTGAAGTGCTGTGTACATCTTCTGTACTTGGTTGGGTGTTCTGTCCTGCTCAATAAGAGGAGTAGGAGACTAGTAGCAACTGCCATACAGGTAGGATGGCTGTATTCACCTCTGTGAGTCAAGTAGATTGTATCTTTGCTCTACCGTTAAAAACTTAATGCTGTTTCTTTTTAGTTTACTACTTGGAAAAAAAAAATCAAGAAAGTAGCACCTGATTGGTTATGGTACCTTCTGATGATGATCTACTAAAATGAGATGGACATTGTTTAATATCATTATTGTGAATCATTGAAATGATTTTGGCTTAAATAAATACTGAATGCAAGTTATGACATTGTTTCTTTTGACATCCTTAGTTTGTATTGTGGGCATTGAAAATTTTCTTTTAAACACAAAACAAAAATGAGCAATGATCTCTAAGAAATAACTGAAAAATTCTGTAATGTGGTTTCCGTTGAAAGGTACAGCAGCTGGTCTCTGACAACAGAGAGCAGTAAGCAAACATATCTCACACTCAGCAAGCCTGCCATAAAGTGAATCTTTCTCACCTTAATAAATGTTATGAATGACGTTTTTAAATCACCAATTTAAATGAAATTTTTTTATCAATTTGTAATATTTGTACATTTTTTTACAGGCGTGAAGATCATCACAGTCTTACACTTAGTGTATTTTAAGTTAACTTTGAAAGAAACTGAGTGTTTTCCTTTTGTGTAAAATAAAATTAATGAAATAATTGTGACAGATATAAGTGGGTTTGCCTTTTTTTTTTTTAATGTGATGAAAATTGGCTGACTTTAAAATTAATTGACTCTGTCCCCTGCCTTTTTCTTTTTTTGAACAGGGTTTGTGGATGCACTTAGATGTTTGCAATGAGCACTGTGGCTGGCATGCCCCAGTGTTTTGGATACCAATGCATAGGACTCCGTAGTAATCGAATTTATCAGAAACGAACGTCATGAGCATAGTGATCCCGTTGGGGGTTGACACAGCAGATACTTCTTATTTGGAAATGGCTGCAGGCTCAGAGTAAGTATGTGAATAATCTGTAAGTTTTCTTTTTTTATGTATTTTTTCCCTATTGAGTATTTTTTGTATACAGTTGAAGAATATTTAGGAGTCTCCTTGGTTTTATTGAATCTGTTTAATAACTGTCACTTTGTTCTTAAGTCAGTTTCTTCCTCTTCAGGGAGAGCCAAGGAGGGAGGCTGAACTGTTCCACAGATGCATACTTTCCTGGCTTATCAGACTGAGAAATACAGTTGCTACCTGGTTTGCTTTTCATGCTTACAATGTTTTGCCTTTTCAGTTTCATTTTAACTATATGTGAAAAATTATTTCCCATTCTAATTGCAAGAAAGTGGTGGTAATTGGACAAGGGTGCCTGCCTTGTGAATGGTGAAGGCCTAGCTTAATTGTCTAATACCATGTCTTCACAAAGCTATTTCGTATGGAAAAGCTAATAGAAATTCACTTGTTAATCATTCATTTCAGTTAGTAACTGTCTATAAAGGATTAAAAGGGCCTGATAAACCCTGAGTTCAAGAAACTCTTACTTTGCAGGAAACAAGCATAGTGAATTTTTGAGGTTTGGGGTTGTGGTGGTCTGTGGTATTTCTTACCATGTGCTAAGTAATATTACTCAGTTTAAGAAGCAAATGGCTTTCCTTCCAAACTTTGAAAGAGATGTTACAATCTGTGAATAGAACTCTTGAGTGGATTTTTAAAGGGATGTTTCTCTCCTGTGCTTTCAGTTACATATGAAGCTATTCTTACTCTGTGCTATTTATCTGAAGAAAACCAAGAATTTGCAATTGAAACTTCAAGTAACATTTTTTAAAGTTGTTTGATTGCACTCTTGTATCATGAACGCTAGTTTTGTTGGTGCAGGAAAGCTTTTAACTTGAATGATTTGTTCACAAGTCTTTTCATTATTTTTTCCTGTGGTTTTCTTTTACATTTAGAGGAGGTCATGATTCCCAAGGTTGCTGATGTTCCTTGCAGACACAGTGTGCCATGCTGAAATTAAAATAAATAAATATAGCTGTCAGTATAAACAAGATAGAGTTCATAGTGTGCTATTTGGTTGATACAGTGACATGGCGACCCAGTTAGGAACTGCTTTTCTTCAGATGTGAAGTGGCTGTTACCAATTAGATTAATTCTTGCCACCTCTGCCATACTTACGCTGAAAGAATGTGTAGCTGCATGGTTTGCTTATGCTGATTTAAAAGACGTGTCACTGTCTCTATCTATCCCTAACCTACCAGCTTACACAGTTATAAACCTTTTCTGCCACCATGTATGTGATTTACACGTTTGGAGTTTTTTTAATGTGATTTATGTGGGTTTTGTATGTTTTCTTCTAGACAGTATGTTGGATATATATTGGTAGCAATCGCAGGTTGTCTTTGAGCAAGTTCTGGGGTTTTCCCAAGAGGGAGGAATTGTAATTTCTTCCCTGTGACTGACAGGTCTGGTATTGCTTCATCAGTTGCTGAAGCATGAGCAAACACAGGATTAGGGTAGGGGAATGGGTAACCTGATTGTGTAGGAGGAAGAGCCTAGGAAAAAAAAAAAGTCTTAGCTTAGTGCAGTCTCTTACTGCTGAGGTTTATTTTTTTTTTGTTGTTATGCTTCAACCTAAGGGATAAGCCTATTAAAAAAAAAATAGCTTAGTGATTACATAGTTACTACTATTATTAAAATAATATGTGAAAATAGGTATGTGGAGAATAACTCTTAATAAAAGGTTTGAATGTCTTAAAAATTGGGTGAAAGAGTCTCTTTTAGGTTGCTTGTACCTAAGTGAGGTGTCCAGTGGTGGACTGATGTCTGCAGTGCTGTAATAGTCAGAACACATTGGTTATCTTGCCTTTTTTTGTAAAAGGCTTACTAAAGATACGTGTGACTTCTTACTCTTAAAGACCTTGTAATAATAAGCAGAACCAGCTGTTTTGGGAGGTTCAGAATGCCCTCCCTGACTTGCAAGAGCATCAGTCTACCTTATAGCATAAACTACATTGGGAAATGGGAAATTGTCATTTATGGTCCTGCTCTCCTGGTTTTAATATCTGTGTGTGTTTCTAGAGAGAAGACCTGTATAATGGACCCAACACCACAGTATATGAATCATTGTAGTGAGATCCATATCCAGGAGAGAAGATTACTTTTTTAAGACTATAACAATATTCATAAAAACCTACCTTCCCATGACTGTTATTTAAATGGGGCTTTTAAGTTGTTTGTTTGTTGTTTTTTTTTTAATATTTTAGGATAATGAGAAGCTTGCCAGTCCCTACAGATGATACAGGGCCAGCCTAAACTTTTAGGGACTGTTACAAGATGCTTCAGTAGCAGAACCCCTGTTGTGTTAGAGAAGTAGTGCTCAGTTCTTCATTGTCTAGTTAGTGAAGCCTATCGGATGTGTTTGGTTAGGTGAAGTGCCTTGAAATAGAAAATACTAGTTTTTGTACAAAATAAATTGCATTTGTTTATCTGAGCTGACCTTCAGCCAGATACTGCTCAAGTGTGCTGGTGCAAAGGGAAAATAACCCTGAACTCCTTGAAGATTAGACCTGTCAAACTGGCATAAGGCAGGTTGATGCTGCTGAGACATGCTTAGAAGCAGGAGGTTTCATTTAGAGTTTTGAGATGTGTGCAGAAGTACTTAAGCTTCTGTTTTCATAGCTTATTTTCATAGCATATTTCAAGCTTAAGTTTTCATAGCCTACAGCTTGGATAACCCCTGGCTTTTGTAAACTTCAGTTTGGTTTTATTTTAGTTGTTTTTTTTCCATTTGATTACCTGCATTTCTATAGAAGTGATTGATGGCCCAAATTCTTAAGAATTGATGGCATTTTGGGTGGTAGTAAAAATAAAGTGCACAACTATCCCCCCATTTTTTAATTAATGTGGTCAGAAACAAAACAGTATTTAAAAGGAGTAGGCTGGGAGAGATGGGTCATTTTAAAGAACAATTGATGATTCCTTAGAATGGTTGATAGCTGATAGCCTTGATAGGGGTTAACTACAAGCTTGTAGAGATTGAGGTTTTGTAAACTATGTGGTTGTGTGGCTTACTTAATTTCTCAGTAGTGCCATCTGCTGGCAATATGCAGAATATTTTCAGTTTGCAGTGTATTTTTTAAATATGAACAGGAGGAAATGACCCAGAACAGTAGAGTTGTTTTACTTGCAGAATGAAAACTATTTAGATGATATCTAAAAAGACAGATATCTTTGCTTTTTTTAGTTGAGACCACTCATTGCACAGTTTTGAAGTTCTGAATTACTGAATATAACAGTTAACAAATAGATAAAACATTTTAGCAAAATCTTGTGGTCAGTGTATTATGGTAATATTTATTTTAGGGTGAAATATTTGCTTTTTGGTACAGTTGCTTGAGCTGAAACTGATAAATGTGGTCTGCTCAGAAGGCTGACAAGCTTAATACGTTAATCTGTTACAGAAGTGACTTACATTCAAAAGTACAAGCAAGGAAAAACTCGTAGTATTCTTGCAGATCTGAATGCTTACACTTGCTCCTGAAAACTTGCTTTTTGGGATGCCCATAAAAATGCCAATGGTGAGATTAGTGTGCATGCCTATAATACAGTAGTTAGTGCCTTGCTTCTTGAGTAAAAAAAAATTGATTTTTAAATTAAGTGGTATCTCACACTTTAATTGCCTGTACTGTTAAATATTTTACCAAGAGGTTTTCCTTCACAAAACTCTTGAGTGCTGAGCCGCCTCTTTGAGAAGGCGGCCTTGACCTTTGGGCACACGATAGGTAGGGGTTGCATTCTCTGTTTAAGGTTGGGGTCTTTGCATGTGATGGGCAGGAGAGGGCTAAGAAGGAGTTTGGTGAAGGGTGTATTAAAAGTGTTGGCAGACCTATCTGCCAAACTTAAAAAGTTGTTTGTAGTTCTGTGGAGAAATGATACTTGTTCTGTACTGCCTATGTGGTGATTATCACTTTTCCATTGACAGTAAAGGAAACCTACACTGATTAATTTCTAGCTTCAGTGACTGCTCCACCACCTCCTTCCTGTATTTCTCAGTCTCCTCCATACAGCTTACCACCTCAGTCTAGCATTTGAGTGCAAGTGGAACAGTGAGAGTTACATTTAAAGCTCTGGTGAGCATCTGTTACAATTTTGAGGAGTATCTCTGGCCTTGTGTATCTGTGGGAGCACTGCTCCTGCTCTAGTTCTGTATTTATGTTAAAACATTTTAATACAAATATTTAATTGCCTTTGTGTCTCACCTGATTTTTCTCCCACCCTTTTTCTGGCTGTCCTTGCTCAAGTAAAGCTGTGCTTTTTTCTTTTTAACCTGTTCTCTGAATCCATTTCATGACTATTAAAATAGTTGAGGACAAACACTTTTTTTTTTTTCCGTATTTTGTTTTTGGAAGCCTAATGCTTCTGCTTCCCACAACTGTTACACCTCTAAGTATTAAACTGTATTCTCTTTAAGTGGTTTAAAAATTGTTAGAGTAGGCAAAAATTGATTTGGGGAGTAGAATGTATTGTCTAGCCTCATAGAACACCTAGTGGAAATGAGTAACTGTGCTGCTGCTTATCTCATATAACAAATGGTAAAGAATAGCAGTAGAAGCAATACAGTGGTCAAGACTCTCCTGAACTGGAGAAGGAAGTTAACTTTGGTCCTAGCCACCCATGCTGGCACAGGCACAGCTGTGCTGGAAAGGCACAGCTTTTCCACCTATTTAATTTAATTTTCTGTTTTTAGTCATGAGTTCGAACCTGACAAATTCTGAGCTCCTTCTAGGAGACAATTGCAACGAACTCTGAATAAAATTATTTTCAAGATGAGAAGTGGTGTAGGAGTGAATGATTTTTCTGTGTTTATGGGGTAATGATGGGCAAGTGTTATCTTAGCTGTTTTTTTATGTCACGCTAGTCAGAAGTTGTATTTCTAGTGTTTATACTTCACATGATTTGGGTGCTCACATCTACTCATTCTCTAAAAGAAATGCAGCTGGTGACTGTTACAGACATTAATGTTTTAAAAAAAATATTTTTTTGCTTTGGATTCTAGAAACTGAAGTCTTAACCCAGTGTAGTACTTCTAAATAGTGTTTCTTTTTGAACAATTTTATCATGTAGTAACCTTAAATGAGAAAAAGCTAAAAAGAAGAAATGTGGCACCAAAAACTTTAGGACGTTTTCAAGTACATGTGGAAATTCCATATATTGTTTTCGGAAAGCTAGTGATTAATTGTATTCTTACAAAAAATATTAGCAAAAAAATGCAAGTTACTGTTTTCCTTTAAGTTAGTATCACTTCATGGCATAACAAAAAAAAGCCTCTCTTTAATATCCTAATGTCTTAGAAAAAGACAGATGCTTATTTTAACGCAAGATTCAGAAATACAAACTTTATTTGAAAAAATCAGTAGAAGAAATAAAGATGTTTGTGCTGGGAAATAATCATAAAACAAAAATTAGAAAAGTGAGCAAGACCTGGATTTGTGATGTGAGTCAAAGGCCCCTTCAGTTTTAGATATTGATATTTTGCCTTGTCTTTAATTTAAAAAAAAAAAAAAAAATCAATGCCAAACAAAAAAACCAAACCAACCAAAAAACCCTGAACACCCCCCAACCTTCAGGTAACTCTGGGTTCATTTGACATTTGTCCTGGTGTGATTGAATCATCTGGTGCAATAAGGCTGTGGCTTTCTGCCTGTCTCGGTCATGAGAGCGTGTACATATGCTTGCGTGCACACGTGAATGTAACTGCTGGGGGCAGGTAATGAAGGTATCATTTATTGTGCTCAAAAAGATCTTTGTATTTTAGTATTACTTTTCTAGTCTTTCATGTGGTTTAATGCATGTAAACTAGAGCTTGTATATTAAAGAAGGCCCTGCCTTTCACCACAAAACCTTATTTCACAAATTTTTATCTTTTTTCTATTGAAAGATAAATCGATAAACTGCCTTGTTTAGATAGATTTGCCCCACTTAGGATTTCTGTTTGTAGAAACCATATGCTGTGGCCTCAAGTGCTGGTGGGTGTGGGTGGTGGGAGGTTGTGCTACCGCTAGATGTCATTGCAGAGTGGGATAGGATGGGTGGCAGTGCAGGGCTGCATCAGTTCTGCTGCTTTCGGAATTACTGCTGCTGTCTTTTGGTGTAATTAGCTGAAGTCCTTTCTGCAGCATCTGCTACACCTCCATAGACTTGAGCATGCAGGCTGATGACTCCCTGACAAAGCATGTAACATCCTCTTCTGTCCCAGATTTGCAGGTTATGTCATGTGATTCAGCATGCACTTTTTTTGGTGAAAATTTTATAACTACAGAGGCATAAGTTCTCTGCCCCTCTGGAAGCTTTATTTCAAATGAAAGAGGAGTGCTGGGTTTCCTCTTTTGTGAGCAGTGGTCTGAGAGGGCCTTTGGAGGTGTGTGTTCGGTGTGTCCATCCCTTTTGTATGCTGCTTTAAAAAGGATCAGCAGGCAATTAATTAGAAATGATGCAACAAGTACCTGTGATTTATTAATGTAATGTAGTAATTATTACTATAAAATGCACATTAATTGCATTTATTATTCTTCTGTCTTTTGCCTTGCAGACCAGAATCTGTAGAAGCTAGCCCTGTCGTAGTTGAAAAATCGAACAGTTACCCGCACCAGTTGTATACCAGCAGCTCGCATTCACACAGTTACATTGGTTTGCCCTATGCAGTAAGTTTCATGCTAAGTATTCTGTATAGACCACATTATGTAAAATCTGCTTTCCTTAACTGGAACAACTCTTGAATCATGCTTATATTTTTATTCTCTTACTGGGAATTGGGTAGGTTTACTAAAGATGGTTGATGAGAAGCAGAATGTTGAACATCATGCAGTTGTGTGAAACTTAATTGAGAAAGTAGAAAACAATGAGCAATGAAAGAAACAGAATGTTAAATATTACTGAAAACCAAGAAGTCTCTGAAGTTCTTTTCAAAGCAGATTCTTACAATTCAGCTTAAATAACCATCAATGTATGAACATTTAACAGCTATAACTTATCTTTCAACAAAAATCTAGGACCATAACTATGGTGCTCGGCCTCCTCCAACGCCTCCAGCTTCTCCTCCTCCAACAGTGCTTATAAGCAAGAATGAAGTAGGCATATTTACCACTCCCAACTTCGATGAAACTTCTAGTGCTACTACCATCAGTACGTCAGAGGATGGAAGCTATGGAACTGATATTACCAGATGCATTTGTGGCTTTACACATGATGATGGATATATGATCTGTTGTGACAAATGCAGGTAATGAATATTAAGTTAACTTAAAAGATAAAAATTACTCAAAACTTAAGGCTACATTGAAAGTAAGTGTAACTAAGTGGTGTTTTAATTATGTTGAGTCATAGGAAATTTCCTTCTGTCAAAAGAGTGTTTAAAGGCTGTATGGCTTTCTAGTAGGCAAGGTAGTTGGTTAAGGCCAGTGAGTATTTTTTATACTTTATTCCAGTCTGTCTTGACTACTCAGGAATTTGTTCATGCCTTTACTTGTGCACTGTTGCTTAATAGGGATCTATCCTTTTCCCCTCTAAAAAGGATGTCTTTTTGGTATTTTGTCCAAGTTAGTATGGTCAAATTAAGACCTAGGGACTGGTTCTTAATCTGCATGTACTTGAGTAATAAAGCATCTTGGTAAGTTGTAAATCACGTAACTTGCAAGATGCAAAATAATCTATAAGAAGCTTCTCAAATACTGTTTTTTCTGTTCATTATCTTTTGATAAGAGTTCTTAATTTTCATAGGACATATTTTAAAGAATTTTAGTAACTATGAAAAGAGTAACCTGGATTCTTACTGGAGAAGCTGAAGTGAAATGTTTGAACTTCTGTGTTCATGCTTAAGCACCTATATCATAGTGAAATCAGTGAGTGTTATTAAATACTTGGACTTAGAAAAAAGAACTTAGAAATTTTTTAGAACTAGAACTTTTAGAAATTACTTTCTATGACTTTCAGAATTTTTTAGATCTGATACACTTGGGAGAAGACAAGTCTCATGTTTCTGCACTTAATATTAGCCAGCGTTTTTATATTCAGTACCCTTAACGAATGCTGCTGAACTTACTAGATCATTGTGTATTTCTGAAATGATAGTTACGACTAATCAAGACATTGTTTTGAGCTCCATTCATCTGCATACATGACAAGTTTTTTCTTTTTAGTTTTTGATGGTCTTTGATTCTGATAACGTTTTGACTTATTTTGAAAGGCTTTTAGATGCTCTTTCAGCAGTGGAGCTGTAGGTGGTCATCCGCTAGGTAGAATTGTTTAGGTTAGAAAAGGCCTTCAAGATCATGGATTCCAGCCATCAACCTAAGATCGTTGAGTCCAACTGTTAACCCAGCACTCCAAGCCCACCGCTGAACCATGTCCCTCAGCACCATATCTACACAAGTTCTAGACATGTCCAGGGATGATGATTCAGTCACTTCTGTGGGCTGCCTGTTCCAGTGCTTGACAACCCTTTCAGTGAAGAAATATCTCCTAATATCCTACCTAAACCTCCTTGGTGGGAGAAGTAGAGTCTACTTTTTTTGAAGAAGAGATTCTCTGTGAGAAAGCTGTGATAAATTCACAAATGGGAAGATAACAATGACTTTTGTGTCCCAGTTCCTTCTAGTAATGTGGGGATGAGCATAAATTACTGTCCTGGGTTAGCCACCAGTTTAGTGAGCAGCCTTTCTTCCCTGGCTGTGAGAAGCAGTTGAGGCTGTTTCTATTAAGATACAAAAAATAAAATTATATTTATAAAGGAAAAAGCAATGATTTTGTTTAAAAAAAAAAAAAAAAAAGTCCTGTTACTAAATAAAGCATAAGTCTTGTTGCTCAAGGTATTTGTCTCTATTTTGTTCTCTGTTGTGATAATTTACCATTTTTTATTTCCAGTGTTAGCGAAAATTTCCAAGAGGGAAAATGAGTCTAAAGAAGCAGAGAGACACCTGGAGACAGCCACAAGATGGGAATTACAGTGATCAGTGGAATAGAAAATCAGCTAGCAGAGTGGTGGTGTGAAGACAGTGATTGAGATGTAGCTTTAGGCAGTATTCAATCTGAGTAAAGATCATGATAAAAAAAAAAATGGCTCTGTCTTTCTGTTATGTGTGTGTGTGTATTATGCACACAATTTAAAAAGTTGTACTTGTATTTAAAAGAATTTTTTTTCTTTAAAGTGTCTGGCAGCACATTGACTGCATGGGGATTGACAGGCAGCATATTCCTGACATATATCTGTGTGAACGTTGTCAACCAAGGTGAGTAGTTTGGTTTGAACTCTAAATTAGTAGGTGGAGTAGAGAATATAAAAAGAGGAGGTACTGGAACAACCAGCAGATAAAGCATGGTCCTGACAGTTCTAGTTAAAGGAGCCACATTTCTGCTGCGGATGATCTTGCCAGTCTCCATCCCTTGTTCACAGTAGTCATTGATTCACCTCCCTAGGCAGCAGGGGTAAACCCCTGAAATACTTATTGAAATAGCAGTGATTCCTAGATTCTTTCTCAGGCTGACTGATAGATAGACAGTCCTTTCCATGTTTTGTTTCATGGCTGTCATACACTGAGAAGCCTTAACAGCAGTGTTTTCAGGTCAGCTGCCCCACCAGTACTTCTCAGTGTCTTCTGTTTTTATGGTCCTGTTGCAGTATGCTGCAGAGCTCACTTGGAGGATTTCTTGCCCTGGAGTGAGTTAGTTGTATGCTCTCCCTCAAACTTGAAGTCATGTGACAATGAGGAGGGGGTCATTTTGTTCTGACTGTGTGGTAGGTAGATGCAGAGTATGAAATGCTACTGGTTACTTATGTTGCAGATCGTTAATTAAAAGATGTATGTGTGTTCAGGACTCTTTAATTGCCAGTAAATGATTCTTTTGTTTCTTAGAAATAGTCTGGACTTTGTCCTAGAATTTTTGTACTGTATTGTGATGGTTGTTTTGAAGAATCTGCAGGAAAATGCTTATCTGTAATCCATGGACCAACTGCCAGTCTTTCTTTTGAGATGGCAGGTTGCCTTTTGTTTTTAAATTATCTGGATACTTTTATGGGCTTTGCATTAAAATGAAATGCATCAGTGCACAACTGATAACTTTTCTCAGTATCTAAATGTTCAGCTAGTTTACTGTTTACTTTGTAAAGGTGGAAAACAGTAAATATGGAAAGGTTTGGTTTACTGCTTGGATACATTGATGTGTGTGAAGAATGGGATAATTTTTTTTTTTTTTTTAAAATTTCAGGAGTTTAGATAAAGAAAGAGCAGTGCTATTGCAACGAAGGAAAAGGGAAAATATGTCAGGTGAGTAAAGGTTTAAATTTTTTTTTCTTTAAAGATTGTAAGTATTAAAATTAGTATACATCAGCTGTATGAACTTAGGAGCGTGTGTGAAGTTCCTGCAGTTTTGGTAGCCTTCAGCATATAACGTTTGGATCAATGCCTTTTACTTTGTTACTAAGATAACATTATATCAGTTGTTTTATTAAAGATTGTCACCACTGCCTTTTTTCTTATCATTGTGGAATAATTAGATCTGTTTTAACATTGTTAGTTTCGTAATAATGAATGTAGTTTTCATAACAACTAGATTAGTTTGAGTAAGCTACTGAAGATAAAGATAAGAAAGGTTCATGTTTCTTCTGCTGCAGTGAGAGGGTTAGTAAGTCTACTTTAGTCTTGGAAAAAATTATTTCAGAGCTCTGGGGTTTTTTCCTTCTTAGTATATAGACTGCTCATATACTAATCTCTTAAAAAGATTCCATTGCATGTGGTATTTCTGTCTCTAAGAATTATATAATTGAGATTTAAAACTATCTAATATACTTTTGAGAGGGATTGCTAATTCTTATTTGCTGTAGATTTTTTGTATCTGTATTGGTATGTTTTGGGGCTTGTTTTGACAACAAGAAAAATAGCTAAACTTGGGGATAATTGTGATGTTTTTGAAGGTTTTTTGTCTTTAATAACTAAATGAGACTTGTAATGCAGGTGGCTGTTTCTGTCTGTATTTTCTGAAATGAGCTCACCTACTGTTCTTAGAACTTCAAAACTCAGCCAACCTGATTTGTCACGAGTTCTGTCCAGGGACTACCAAAATGTGTTGTGGGTTTCTTGATTGACAGGTGATACTTTCAAGCTCTATTATAGAAGTGAATATTTGGGAGGAAGTTATTCTCCTGAACTTCACATGTTTTACTTTCAAATCATGTCTCTGAAGTACTGGGGTATGTGCAAGTGTGTGTTGGGATTTATTTAAAAAAATACCGCATAGATGAGATCCAGATGCCTACTTCCTGTGCCTTCAGAAAACTCTAAGTGTGTGATGTGGCCTAGAAGTGTGTGTGGCTTAACAGTGCTTCTTGGTGCCATGGACACTTTCTGCTCTCCAGGGCCAAGCTGCCTTAAGTCTCTTAAAGGCATTAATGATTTATTTAGAACACCACAATTGATTTTTGTTTTTGTCTGGTTTTGTTTTAGCAAAACCAAACTTACTTTGTAAAGTTCTGGTTGACCTGCTAGATAGTACAGATTTTTTTCAAATTATTATTCTTTTTTTTAGCATTTAATTTTTGTTGATTCTATGAAAATAATAGAAGTACATTTATAATTAATTTAGAGTTAGTGGGTTCACAGAGTGGTATGATACTGTGAGAATGAACTTGAATTTGCTTACAGGTTAGGCAAAATTGGTGGTCTGAGCAATTTAAATTATCTCTTAGGATTTGTAGCCACACTATCTGATCATTTACTATGAACATTAGAGATAGTAATAATCTTAGTAGGAGCTGAAGATATTTTAGATTTGAAGTTGACGTTCAGCCCTCCTTTATCCTGATGATCAGTCTTTAAACCTATTCTTTGTATTCAATAGGAAAAGAAATACTAAATGGTAAACCTTAAGTATCAAAACAGTAAAAACAAAGATAAATTCTAAGCCTGTTTAGCCTAAGATTCAGCTGAGGTGCTATGTTAATTACTGAGATTTATAAAATGTGACCTGAATGCATGCTTGCATCTCCACTTAATTTTCACTTAGCTAATGTACTTGCTTCACTAAGTGCACTTTTTTGTATGTTGACTGGTATTATGTGGTTCAGTTGGACTTAAATCTGTATATGAACTGCATACCATGAGACTTTAGTAAAAATAACTAGTTTTTATAGCTAATTCTAAGTGGGAAAAGCAAAAGTGGCATTGATTTGAATGTATCTATTAAACATTTTTAGTATTAACAGCAGTAGAAGGTTAATTTTAACTTCAAAATAAGTTGGAGGTGTTTGATTAAAGGTAAGATTGCAGTATTTGGAAGTTCTTTGAGTAAGTATTTAGGGGGGTTTTTTGGGTTTTTTTTAGGCTTACGTAAAATAGGGCTTTTCATTTAGATTTGAGAATACAGTATAACTTTTTTTTGTTGTGGTAAAGATTTCTAAAGGATTGCTGCTTTAGCCATCTTGCATCCAAAGGTGGGGAGCAAGTAGTAGATCAGTTGGTTTGCTGCAAGAAATGAGCTCTTAAGTAAACATTTGCTGTGATGCAAAATTTGGTGAGAGTCTTAATAAACTTCTGTCTGTAACCGTATCAACTTTTTTCCTAACATTTACAGCCCATTGTTCTGGGGCATGTGGTTGTATGTGGTGATACTGCTTTTGTTCTGATACAGAAGTGTAATTCTGATGCAGCCTACTGCGCATTGGGCGTTCTTGGATTGCTCAGTGGAGTGAGCACTTTTGTTAAGCCACTTGTCAATGTTATCCTGGACACTTTGGGATTGATGGTGGGTTTTTTGTGGTTGTTTTTGTTTGAAAGACATAGAATCTGGATGTGTAACTTGTTGAAGGATGTTGCTTCAAGCTGTCTGCTCTTGAAACTAGTGCTTGATGAAATCACTTGCTGCTTCTGGGGAAATGAGTGTGGGCCCATAACTCGTTGTGAAATTTGGAGAGTTTGTATCTTGATGCAGAGATGCAAAATCTTCCCTTAGTGTACTTTGCTAAGGCTCTTCCAAGTGAAAGCACGTTATGTAGGTTAGGAAGGTGTGTCTCAAAACAACTCTTTTTAATTATATGCTTGAGGTAATTATTCTTTATAGTAAGTTAGGGCACAGTGTTAACTACAATATTGAACTACAGCTTCCCTAAGAAAGACAGCATTTTGCAGGGTTGGAGGTTAGGAGTGGGAGAGGTGTTTGACACAGTGATTGTGTAGGCACTGCTGTATGGGCTACAAACATTGCAAATTTCAAGAGGGCCTTGGGTTTCCATTTCTCAGTCATTGGTTATTCTGTAGTCTTCTTTGAGACATTTCTTTCTGTGCCTGTTTATTTTTTTTTTTTTTAATGCTAGTTCAGAAAATAGTTCGAACAAACAAAGATGCAAACAAAATCAGAAAATGTCATCAATTCCTAATACATGAAGTATAGTTATGTGCCTAATAAATTGTTCAAAAGAAAAACCAATAGGGTTAACATTGGACTGCTTACTATGTACAGAAGAATCCAGTTAAGGAACATTGTGAGCAAGGAAAATCCAGAGTAACTAGTAGCTGGATTTCTTTATTTAGTAAAGAAGGTTTCAAGAATTAGGACTGTTGGGTGCACTGATTAAGGCAGCATCCTTTTGAACTCAGAAGGAATGCTGTATCTGCTTTCAAATTATTTGTAAAGGCTTCTGTGCATTTTCAGAAAAAGTATAGTCCAGTGTGAAATATATTTATTGAAAGCAGAATAATTGGAAACGCTGCTCAAGTCTGAGAAGTCTGTACTGAGCACATGTGAACAACAGTCTCCTATCTATGTGCACCATCTCTCTTGCAGTCCTCTCCACGCTTCACAGCCCTTAATCTTGACAGAACTAGGGTAATCCGATTTCAGGTCATGAAATGTATTTGTCTGACATAAATGCTGAGGTATGCTAAATTTCAGGCTCTAGCTTTTACATCTGCAGGTGCAGAGTACCAAGAAAAAGTATGTGTCCTTTTGTGTATGATCTTGTTTTAGCAACTGAAATAGACTTCCCTTTTCTCTTCCCTGAGTAGTGGAATCTTACTGGTAGGGGATTTTGAGGAGAGAAGGCTTTTGGCTAAATTGATACGTTTACCCTGAAGAAGGCACTAGGCACTGCAATTTTGACTCAGACAGGACTGGTTAATATGGCTTCACAAAAAAAAAAAAAAAAAACCACAAGAAATGCTGGGCAGTCGTTAATTTTAATCCCTTCTAGAACACAGTCATCTGAGAGAATTCTAAAGCTGTATTACAAGTCAAGGCTATATATGTGAATGAATTAACAGATTTTTTTTTTTTTAACTTGGTTTTTGTTCTGATTCTAATTTAGTTTATAATGGAATATGATAGTACTTACAACTCCACTGAAAGAACAGAATTAATCTGATATCTTTTTCTTACTTGGCATTACAAACGTCTGTTAATTACCAGCTTCTCATTGGTAGTTCATTTTCATGCTGTTGCAACCGTTGATGAATTTTGCATGGAAGTGCTTGAAGCATTCAGTACACATTTGTATTTTTTAAAAGCAGGTGTACTGAATGCTAGTAAATATTCGTCCTGCAGTATTTGATTGTTTACAGAATATTCTTTGTTTTAAAGATGGGGATACCAGTGCAACAGAGAGTGGTGATGAGGTTCCTGTGGAACTGTATACTGCTTTTCAACATATACCAACTACAATTTCTTCAACTCCTACAAGAGTTACAAAAGTAAATGATAAGAAAAGGAAAAAAAGTGGAGAGAAAGAACAGAGCATAGCAAAATGTAAAAAAGTAAGTGAATATAACTTGTCTTTTTACAAGTCTGTGTTGTAAATTGCAGTGAAAAATGAGGCTGTTGTTAGAAGTAATTTTTTACGACTTGGGTTTAGCTTGAAATGTAATACTCTGCACTGAATGCTACGGTCTTCCTTGACTCTTCCTCCCTGCCCCTGGTTAATTCAAGTTGTGTGTACTATTCATGGAAGTTCAATTTTATAGTTGAGGCAGAATTTGCAAGGAGGAATGGCATTTACTGCACCACAGGATATTGTTAGAGCTGGGACAGAACCAAGCATTTGAGTTCTGAAGAATTCTTTGGCTGAAAGTCATCAGTTATAGTTGTTTAAAGTTCAGAAGCAGTTGCTGTCAGTTGTCCTGATGCAACTCAATGTCCGTTTATTTGAGTTCAAATTGTGTGGAAGCATGCTGTCAGACAGCTACTAAACTACTGTGGCAAACAGGATAGTAGACGTTATACTGTTTAGCTACAGGTATAAACAGTGTAGTGTATGTGAAGTAAAGTACACTGAACTTCCTGAACTAACGAGTTCCTTCCTGCAGTTCAGCTTCACTGGCTTGGATAAGAATTTTGTCTTTTAAAAACTGAAATCAGAATTAATTATCAGTATCTCTTTGGAAATCTTGAGTAAAATGTTTCCTTTTGAATGAATGGTTCTGGATATAAATTTACTACCATGTATTCTTGTGTTACCTCCCAACATTGTGTGAGATGATTTGAAGAATGAGTTTTTGTTGTAGAATGACAAACTTTCTTCAGAAGATAGCATACCTGCTTCCCTCTTCCCTTTCCACAAATAGTGTAGTGAAGGATGTGGACAATTTACAGCTTTACCTGATAAGTATGGAGAGTTCCATAAGTAATTTTTCAGTTAGTTTGCCTTGAATTCTGAAATTCTAGAGGGCCCTGTTGTAATATGGGAGAAAAGAGTGCGTACCTGGACCGCTAGCTCTGACATCCAGTATGCACTCAGATTGAAACGCTGAAATTTAAAAAAAAAAAAAAAAATTATGGCATGTAGCTTGTTGCTGCCTTGAGATTTCAGCATAGTTTGTTGTGTTGTTCTCTTACATGTTTTATTGAGAATGGTCTGCATTGAAAAGCTGATAATTCGTAAATAGATTTTTCCAAAGAATATAAATGTCTAATTTTGTTTCAGGCATTTCGAGAAGGATCCAGGAAGTCTTCACGAGTAAAGGTAATTTAATTCTATTTATTTTTGTTTGGGCTTTGTTTTGAACCTTAATTGTACATTATTTAAACGTGAAGCATCAGGAGTGCAATTAGGGCTATGCATTCAGCAGTAAAACAGTACTGATAACTGTGTACTACGTGAGCATCATAGTAATTTTAATTAAAGGCATGAGTACTATGTCTTTATGACCTGTGAAACTAACTGAAATAGTATAGTATACATTTTTATTGTGCCAATGCTTGGTTTTCAAGATCTGATGGAGGAATTTGGGCTTTTTAGTGCTGCGCAAGGAGTAAAGATGAGCACACACCTCATTTGAACTATTGGCTCCAACTTTTCATAGTTCTAGGCAGCAAAAGAATGAAATGGCTGCCTTGCATTTGGAAACTGAGCAAGTGCTTCTGCTCTGTTATACCTCTGTATATTCGTCTGATTAGACTGTGCTCACTAGTGCTGGCATAGTTCAAGGAATTGTGTTGGGATGTCTGCTTTGTAAGTGTTAGAGCAGCCTTTAATAAAACTTCCTCCATGATAAAAACAGGCATGGTGTGAAAACTAGCTATTTCCCATAGTTTAATCATCCTTGGTGTGTGTGGAAACAGGTGGGACACAATTTACACTCTAGATGTGTGAGTTACGAGTAGTGAAGACGGAATTGGGGAAGAAAATCTCTTTTGTGCTTTTGAATATGGTGTTTGTAAGGTTCCATTGTATTTTTTCATGGTTTTCTTAGCATCACACCTTTTTTAATGCTGTTTGTGTGTATGGTTCCCTTGATGTACAAAAGACATGTAAATAGGTTAATTGAATTGCTGAACTACTTTGCTGTTTCATTAATCTTCTATAGTGTCTGTGCTCAAGGGATAGAAAAGGGAGCACTGGTTTGCTCCCGTTATCTGTAAGGAGCATTGGTTGGCAGCAGTCTGACCGGTGCTTCTGAAGTCTGAAGGTAAAATGGCATGTTATTGTAAAAGTGAGAGGATCTGAATCACTGCAGAAGAGAATTGTCTCGTGAGAAGCAGATAAGGGAAGAAGAATGGTCTGTGCAGTGAAGTCCCAACCTTAGTGTAGTAGGTACTGGGTTAGTGAGGTTTAGTAAGATGTGAAGTGGAAGAAAGATATAGCGTGACCCTTGAAGTTGAAAGGTGAAAATCAAATCTCTGTATTACAGGATGGAAGCTGGAGTTCTTAATATTTTTCAGATGGTCACAGAAGTTGAGTAGGCAGGGAGATCTGACCTTCCAGCTCCTGCATTTGTAGATTCATCATGTTGTGCAGTTGTGGGAGGAAACAGTGTCAGTCTCCATTCTCATCTCACTAAAAGCTAAAGTGCCTGTTGAAGGGGGAATGTATCCGTGAACTTGGAGATATTCGTGAAGTTATAAAATTCCTAAAAGGAATGTAATACCACTGAATTCATCCTAGTGCTTTTAAGTAATGCAGAATTTTTATACTGGACTTCCTTAAAAAACAAAACAACCAACTAAATGAAAAAACTACCAAACTTGAAATCAATGGTGTACCTTTGTCCTTCATTTTGTGTGTTATTGCAGACTTTTTTTTTTTATTTATTTTAGTATCTTTTTATTACTTTGTAATATCTGGTCACTTACTTCCCTTTTTAGGGTTCAGCCCCAGAGATTGATCCTACTGACAGTTCAAACTTTGGATGGGAAACTAAAATCAAGGCATGGATGGACCGTTATGAAGAAGCAAATAATAACCAGTACAGTGAGGGTGTCCAGAGGGAGGCACAAAAAATAGCTCTGAGATTAGGCAATGGAAATGATAAGAAAGAAGTCAGCACCAGCAATCTGATTTTCAAACCTCCAGTAGAGGTAATGAGCTGTGCCACTTTGTGTTACTGCATGCTACTTCTGTGCCACAACAAGGATACACTTAGATGCCTTGGAAAATAGAAGGAACTTCACATTCACTTTCTGTATCTTGTCTCACCACATCTAAGCATCAGAGATTAAAAAGCTTTTTCAGAATTTGTAATGGGTTTTTTTTATATGTCCTGTATTACTCGTGGTTACGTTTGCACTTGTGTATCAGTTCTCGTAAAAATAGCTAAGGTCTTAGTCTGGGCCTGAACATTGTTCTGTCCTTAGACTGTCTTGTGTAGTGGACATAATGCATTAAACTTCACTGCTGTGTCTCTGCTCTGTATGGAATAGCAGGAGTGGTTAGAGTAGCACTGAAATTAGAATATTTTTTCTGCTCTGTGTATCAACATGTTAATTGTCTGTTTTTCTTAAGGTATGGTAAGTGTTCTGGATGTTCAGATACTCAGAGTAGAATATAATTTACTGGTTCATAAAGGATATTTCTGGTGGTAGGTGGTAATCTGATACTGAATTTATTTTTTTTAACTCTTCTGATCCTGTAATTTTTAGTTAATGAAGAAATTGTGCAATATCTTTGTGTCCTTAACATCAGTTACTTATGAGCTTAAAATCGGAGCCATATAACAGACCTTATCATTTTGTAGCAGAAATCTGAAGGAGTAGTTACTGTAGCAGATTAATGGAAGCATGTTTGCTTCTTTTCCTCAAAGACCATCATGGCATATGGGACACCCTCCTTAGAGGAATATCCCTGCTTACAGAGCCTTTTGCCCACATAGAGGCTACTTCCTTTTTGATTGGCGATGACAGTTATGAGAGGTGTGAGTTCACTAATTGTCAGGGTATGTATTGGTTTTTAATTAAAAAGCCATCCTTCCATCTACAGATAAGAAAATAAATTTGGAAACTCAGGACTTTTTTTTTACTATTATTTTATTTTCCTGTTGTGTTTTTCCTTGAATGAATCATGAATGTTCTTTTATGTCTGCATGATTTGTTTTGTTTAAAGGAATCGAAGCCTTTGTTTGAAGAAATTGAATTGTGAGAATATGAGTATGTTGATTTTCAGCCATGCAATGGAGAACTAGGCCTAAAGTATTACTCAAATCTGTATTCATAACTAGATGCATTGGTAGGGAAACAGGACAGTTTAATCAAATCGGTCTGGAGGTTTAATTAGGAAAAGGATTTTTTGTTTCGTACAGAATTCTTCAGTAGTTGTGAAAGTGTAATTTGCTCTTAATAATTATGGAAAAATGATGGAGAATGATACTTCATAAATTCCTTTTTATCTTTGTAGAGTTACGTGCAAAAAAACAAGAAAATTTTAAAAGCTGCCAAAGACTTAGCTCCTGATGCACTTATTATTGAATACAGAGGAAAGTTCATGCTGAGAGAACAATTTGAAGCTAATGGATATTTCTTTAAAAGGTTTGTTTATTCCAAATGTTTTAATAAGGTAACTACTAAATTGCTGTTTTGCCAGATTTGCCTCAAGTAGAAGTGGGTCTTAGGCACAAGACATAGCAGTGTCTTGCATTTTATTGTTGTTCGATTAAAAATAGTTGCAGCTGGATTCTGGTCTCCCCGTGCTCATCTAGGTGTCCTTACAGATCTGTTCAGGAGGTAGTTTTTTCTTTCTTTATTCTTCCCTTATTACAGGATTCCTGTATTCTCAGTTGGGTAGTCATGCACCTAAAACCAGAGATTGGCAGGTTCTACCACCCTAAAAATTCAGCAGGTAATGGCAAAGATATTCTTTTCTGTGAGATTTTAAGTCCATGAGGCCAAGAACAGAATTGGATGCAGGTCAGCTTGGGGCCATTTTACTTTCAGAGTTCTCTAGTTGATTAAATTACTAAGGAATGCATGATTGCTCCTTCCTGTGGATCATTTTCAGTGCTGCCATTAATTGCACAGACAAACCTTCTTGGGACATTGCAAGAGGCCTCTTGGAGGAGAAGAGACACAGAGCTTTTGCTCAGTAAAGAGGGAAGGGTTCTCTGGCACACGCAAGGGCAGAACTTAGAGCACATCTTGGCAGAGTATTTCAATGTCCCTTTTCTTGCAAGGCTTGGGTGCTGGTGATACTGCAGGTGTTAGGTAGGGGTGTGGAAGTGTTACTTTATTCAGTCTTTTAAGCCCCTCATAGACTCACATAAAAACTTCTGTTTCATTTTAGGACCTGCTATAAGAAAAGTTTAAGAAAAGATGAAGACTCTTACCTTGTATTCTGTGTCCAGTGCTTGCCTTGCTTTTCCTTTCTTTAGATTCTGTAGAGAAGAATGACATTCAGGGCTGTAACTCAGACTTTTAGTATTCTGAGAACACATTTGGAGAATGTACCTGTTAGAACCATGAAGCTTAAATAGGAACATGTCCTTTTCAGATTAACCCACAAATGTGGTGTATCATGCCAAACACCATAACTACAATGCTAACTCCTGGGAAGAATAAACAATATTTAGCCTCTTTAAAAATTATAAACTTCTGATTTTCTCGTGTCATTTTCAGGCCATACCCATTTGTTTTGTTTTATTCCAAATTCCATGGGCTAGAAATGTGCGTTGATGCGAGGACCTTCGGGAATGAAGCTCGATTCATCAGGCGTTCGTGTACGCCAAACGCGGAGGTGAGCATATACCTGGAGTTAAATGAGGTTCGCTGCACTTAGAAGTCCCCTTTTCCTTAAGTTTCCCAACTGGTAATTTGATCAATCCCTACAATTTCTGTATAGGAACTTTTTAAAAAAAAAAAAAAAAGAGAAAAGTAATTCATGATATAATAATATTCTCTTGAATATAGGTGAGGCATGTAATTGAAGATGGAACAATTCATCTTTATATTTACTCCATCCATAACATTCCAAAGGGAACAGAGATTACTATAGCATTTGATTTTGATTATGGAAATTGGTAAGTGAGCATGTTGTTCTAAAATACATCTAATGCTTATTAAGTTACATTGCAAGTCAGAGTGGCTTTGTTTTTATAATGTTTACTTTCTTGCACGCTTAAATGACGCAGAGCTCCTTAAGCACTGTGTTTACAATGAATAGGGGCGAGGGGCAGGGTTTCGTCTGTATTTTTATTACTGTGTATCTGTTCGTAGTGTCAGAAATGTTGCAGTTACTTAAATTATAGGGAAAAGGTACAAACTTAAATTTTCAGAGTAGATGCTTATTCATATTTATAGTATGTAGGTGTCCCGTAGTGTGGGGAGAGTAGAGGGAAGAAAATGAAGAACTATTCAGTAATGGCTAACTTGTTTCAGAGTGCCTCTGTGGTATAACTTGAAGACAGCACCTGTGGAAATTAGTTATAAATGGTGTTTAGTCTGCGATTAAGAATGTTCACATACACTGAATGCTTAGTGCCTTGTGAAGACAACCTGAGGAATTGCCTGGCTGATAGTTCTTTGGGTTTTTTTAAATTTTATTTTGTATTTTATTCTTCTGAGCGTACATAGTAGTTACGTTTTAGTACCTGCAGCTGACAGCCTGTGTAAGTTAAATGCGTTTGAATAACAATTCCTACATAGCCAAGTGGAACTCAAAATCATAGAGGGTGATGCAGAGGTCTTTCCAGTGTGCTCATTCTGTAAATTGTGTCAACTGTCTTTGCGTAAAGCAAGAAATCTCTGCATTCCACGTGTCTTGTTCATGTCTTTAGTGTGGTGGTTTTATTTCCACCTAGGATATGAAATACTCAGGTTTTGCATGTCTTTTGTCTTCTAAGCAAAGAGAAACCCTGAATGTAGAAGTATTTCATGTGGCAAGCAGACACAAATTCTGTTACCCAGTGGATGAGATTTTTGAATTACAGCAGTATTGTATATCTTGATGAAAATTTGAGTCAATTGCTTTTAATGTTTGGTTTGTATCGTAGCAGATGTTTCCTGTGAAATGTATCGCCTTGTGTGATTTAGTATTGAAAGGTGTCATTGCGGTACAGCCTAATAAAAATATATCCTCTTGCATTTAATTACTTTCAGTAAATACAAAGTGGACTGTGCTTGCCTCAAAGAAAATCCTGAATGTCCAGTTCTCAGACGTTCTGAACCCACAGAAAACCTCAATACAGGATATGAAACCAGAAGGAAAAAGGGAAAGAAAGAGAAGGATGTTTCAAGAGAAAAGGAGACTCAAAATCAGAACATTACATTGGACTGTGAAGGAGCAGCTGCCAAAATGAAAATCACAGATAATAAACAGAGGAAGCTCTCTCCACTGAGGCTGTCCATTTCCAATAATCAGGTACTGGCACGAAGATGATCAGAAAAAAAAAAAGCTTTTAAACCCAAATACTCTCCTTTTGTAGTTACTAAAGGAAGGTGTTACTAAGAAGTCACTGAGAAGGGGTATGGAGATTTATCAGAAATCATGATAGATAAACTGCTTAGAATTTTTATACTGTTCTGTTTTCCTTACCATTTGATTTTTGGGTCCTATACCAGTTTTAACTGTATATTTTTTCTTTGAATTTCTTGATGTATCTCTAATGTGAAAGCCTCGTGTCATGCTTTCAGGAGCTTCTAGTCCACCCTGAAGCGTCTCCTGCTTAGTTGCACATGTTACTCAGGAATGTAGTATTTTAAACCTAGCAATACGTAGCCATACTCCTATAAGAAATAAAACTTCAGCCCAGAATATTAAATGTTGGCTGCAGCTCTTGTGCTTTAATAGAGCTCTGAAGCTCTATTCAGTAGAATCTAAGAAGTCAGGAGGGAGGAAGGTGTGCTTTGAACCTAAATATTGGATGATGGGTGGATAGTATGGTACAGCTACCTGGTCATATACCATGGTAGTCAAGTTCAAGTTAATCCTTCTTTTAATAGGTTGGTTTGAAAGAACTAGTGGGAGAGGTCCGTGAGACTAAGTTAATTTTGCATAGAAGCTATTAAATTAAAAATACTTGGAAGTCCAGAAGGCATGGCATGTGACTGTTGGAAATTATGATCCACAGAGAGGAAACACTGGAACTTTCTCATCCTAAGTGAATTTTTAATATTTTGTTTCTAACAAGTGATAACTGGTATTTGGAACCTTCTCCTGAGCTTTTCATGTAATACACAGTGCATATATAGAACAGTCACAGGAGAAGTCTTGCTGTTTTTAAAACCCAACTTAAAAAATTAGGAATTGTGAGAAGAATAAAGTTGTTAAAACGTGTATGCAAGCACAGAAGCCAGTTAGTTAATAGTGGTTTTTTTTTTTGCCTGGGATGAAATATATATATAATTCTATGGTAAAGAAAGCATATGGGAAAATGTAAATAAATTTTTAAGACAAATGTTAAAAGAAACCTTTGTCTAGTCCTTTTACTGTAAAATTGAATTGCTTATAGGACTAGGGAGCACCTAACTCTTTCCAAAGTTACTGGTTCATGGTTTCTTTTTTTGTTTATTTCCTCAAAACAGAAAACCATGATTAGTAAGCTGGCTCTTGTGTTTCCTTGTGTTATGACACTGTCAATAGATTATGAAGTGAGAATGTAAATGGAAAATGTAACTTTAATAGAATATGCTTTGAGATGAGAAGAAAATCTTTGTACTTGTTTGTTAAGTGTATCCTTTGACATTATTTTATTTCCGTAAAAATATGTTGGGTTTTTTTTTTATTAGCTACCAGTTCTTTAACTGATTTTAAAGTGGCTAGATCAGTGACCAGTGTTAGTGCCCAAAGGCTTCTATTGTTTTGAAGGTTTTATTCTGATACTTTACTTGGTTGGTGGGGTAGGGGAGTGGGGATGACACCCCAAAATTTCAATAACCTCAGTGTGCTGGAGTAAACAGATACAGGTGTGTCTTAGCTCAGAATGGGAAAGATCTATTCAGGTAATAATACTTACAGGTTTATACAAGGGTTCAAATGGATAATAGTACTTATGTTGTTGTGTGGTTTGGGGTTTTTTATTTATTGGCTTGGTTATCTTTGATGTAGTGATCTGAGAATTCTTAGTTCTGTGTAGCTTTTAGTTTTCCCTAGTTTGCAAGAGTAGTAGAGCTTCTGTAAAGCAGTCGTTTCCATTTTTCAGGAGCCAGATTTTATTGATGATATCGAAGAAAAAACTCCCATTAGCAATGAAGTAGAAATGGAATCAGAGGAGCAGATTGCAGAAAGGAAAAGAAAGATGGTAAGTTAGCAAGTAGCTGCAAAAAGTTGTCACTAAGGCTTAGTGACACCTGCTCTTTCCATGCTAATTGCTGCCTTTTTGTAGGCTTATAAAATCTAAGTATATATGAAGGCAGAGCCTTACATGAGCTTCCCCTTGAAATGCAAGGATTGCTATTTGACAGCATTTCATCTGGCTTGATTGTCGCTTTCTGATAAAAACCTGCTTTTATCTTCAAATGCATATAATTAATTGCCTTTTAAAAAGACATTGTAAAAATCTACATTTTATTTTTGTTGCTCTTTATTACTGCTTTTTGTTTGAAATGGCCATTTTTATAGAAAGTATGTGGAGTCAGGATTTTGGCCTTTCCACTTTTTTTGAGTTTCCAACTTAAAAACCCTCAGAAATCCTAATTTTCTTAGGTTGGTAGAACAGTGTTATGAAAATTCGCATTTTAAAATGTGCTTTTTTGTTAGGCATTCAAAATGTGAGATACTTGAAATACCTAGTTAAATCAGAATCTTGGCCATACGTTTGCAGGTGTTCGTTCTTTGCTGTAAACACGTTGTTGCTGTTGGTGCTCTGTTAAGCTGCAGGCATTTATACGCATAGAAGAAACAAAGTTGTTGTAGCAACCCCCAATTCTTGTCACCTCTGTATTAAGCAGAGCTCTGTGCAGATGAAGGGATCTGCCTTTGTCCAGCACCAGGACCTTGAATTACAGATAGACAGAAAATTTTGCTTCTGTGTGTGACCTAATGTTAACTTATTTTGAAATAGTAGTTCATGGATGCTGACTGATTTAGTTGGTGACACTTGGTAAATTGAGTCAGAGGGTAACAGAGCTTTCTGTTGTTGTTTCATGCATGTACTGGTATTTCTTATCTTTCTGGTTATTAGTGTTTCATTGTTTTTAAATACTATACATGTAAGGAAAAGGCTCAGAGCTATGTGTTCTTTTTATGCTTATAGGCCAGTGGTTTACAAATGAATTACTCTTTTTAGTAAGTTCTTAAAACCAAAGCCAGACTCTGGTCTTGTTCATCAGGGTTGGTATGAATGCAAGCCTTTCTTCCAAAGTCTGAAATAGTTGCAGTCATTGTAATGTTTCCCTTTCCTCTGAGCTTCTGCTGAAATTGAGCTCCATGTCAACACACACTGAACATGGTCTGAAGCACTTAAAAAGTATTTATTTATATATGTGAAGGATGATGACTAAAACTTGATCGTAATTATTATTAAATCCATCAGACAAGAGAAGAACGGAAAATGGAAGCTATCCTGCAAGCTTTTGCCAGACTAGAAAAAAGAGAAAAAAGAAGAGAACAGGCTTTGGAAAGAATCAGCACAGCAAAAACTGAGGTGAAATCAGAATGCAAGGAAGCACAGATTCCCAATGATGCTGAATTTATTCAGGTAGCTACCTGGAACTTTATTTTAAAGCTAGTTTTTAACATGGCATCTTTTATCAGATGGTTTGGATGTCAAGCTGCACTTCAAGATATATGAATTGCTTTCTTTTTCCTCTGAATGCAAATAGATTTGACCAAAATGTGTATAGTTCTTTGATACTATATTATGTTAACTTATGTTTGGTTTGGGGTTTTTTGTTGTTTGTTTTTTTTTTTTTTTTTTTTTTTTTCCCAAGAAAATATGTATAGAACTTGGTTGAGGAGTTTCTGTTACATTTCTGTATGCCAATGTGCACACCCACATCAAACATGTAATTCAGTCTCTCTTGGAAGCTCAGGATACAAAGTATTTACTGATGGTGACTTTACCCACAGGAGGTGGCTTTCCTTAGGCACTCTAGAACTGGTGGAGAAGAACCTGCTTCTTTGGTGGGTTGCTTGGGATCAGGTTATAATCCTTTCTTTTCTCTTACAGAAAAGGAATTATTAAGGCATAGTTTGTTCTGAGTTCTTGCAGGTGGCTCCTAAACAATCTTTTGCTTATTGTTGCTGGATGCCAGTACGCTTCTTACCTTGCAGATACTACTACAAATTCTCAGTTCAGGTTGTCCCCTCAGATAATTTCTCTCTGCACACTGCTGAGTACCTTTTGTGACAATGCCAAACAGTTTACTATAAATTACAAAAAGAATATTGGATCGAAAGACAACATGATGTAAGCAGCTGATTTCTAGCTTATGGGTGTGGTGTGGCAGTTCATACACAAATCTGTGGTAATCTGACCAATGACTGGTGTTTGTGAATCCTCAGCCAACGATGCAGCAGGTGCTCGGGAGGAAAATACAAGAAATCTTGCAGTTGCCTTGAGGAAGGTTAGAACTATTATCTCTGAAGTATTTGAGTTCTAACAACAGAAATGATATACGGACTTTTGGAACCTGATAAGGAAAGGAGGAACTGACATCTTGTTTTAAGGAATATAGCTAACTTTACATGAGTGTGCTCTGTTTACTAGACTTATATTTTGTACCAGGAACCAGCAAAAGAAGAAACTGCCACCAAGCCTACCCCAGCCAAAGTTAATAGAGCTAAACAGAGGAAAAGCTTCTCGCGGAGTAGAACTCACATTGGACAACAACGTAGGCGGCACAGAACTGTCAGCATGTGTTCAGATATCCAGCCATCTTCTCCTGACGTGGAAGTAACTTCACAGCATAATGAAACTGAGAATGCTGCACTGGTAGCTGAGCCTGAAACAGAAACTGTTGTTACAGAAATGGTTACTGAGACAGAAGGTCCAGCACTTAATAAATGCCCTACTAAGTATCCTAAAACAAAGAAGGTACGTCTATTAAGGGGTGGGGAGGAGAGGATAAACTTTAACAGCAGTTTTAAAAAATTAGACTGCTGCATCAGTATGCAACTATATCTAGATTTTTTTTTTTTTTAATTGTTGACTCATTTCTTTAAAAATCACCATTACATAGCCACTCACCGGTAATAAGTTAAGATATTAAAAAAGATAACTTAATGTTACCTTGAAGTGTAACATCCATTGGTAGAAGTTATTTTGGATTTTAAGAGACTTTCAAAACACATCTTTCAAAACAATTTTGGAACAAAAGTTTTCTAAATTGGCTGAAATAACTTGTGTGACCAAAACATAATTAAAGCTGTTCATTTAAAAAGAAAATAAAAGGCTGTAAAAGTTGCCTTTCCTTCCTTTGTTCATCACGTGTTTTAGAAGGTACTGTAAGTGAGGAGAAAGTCCTGCTTTAAAAATCA